AAAAAAAAAAGGTAGTGAAAAGTAATGAAATCCCACTAGAAGTAGATTTTGAAATTTTTTTTACAAGAGATCAAAAAAAAAAAAAAAAAGTAAAGTAGAAGGAGATAGATGAGAATAGTAGGGCTAGGACAAATCAAGAGGATGATACAGATTACATAGACACTTCAAATATAGGTACTTATGAAAGTTGTGAAGATAGAGAGGTTACATATAAGAAAAGTAGGAAGAAATACTTTGACCCTTCAAATCTAGTTTTTAGGTTTGATATTGGCATGATTTTTTATGGTACAAGGTAATTCAAGGATGCATTGACCAAACATGCACTTACAAAAAAGTTTGATTATAGATACCTTAGGAATGAGACACATAGGGTCAAAACTGTTTGTAAACATGAAAACTGTCCATTCCTTATTTATGCTACGATAGACAATTATAATAGGTTGTTCAAGGTGAAGATACTGAAAAATGAGCATTAGTGTACTATTACCTTCAAAAACTCATGGGTAGATTATAAAGTGTTAGCTGATCATTTTCTTACCAATTTTAAGATTATTCTTGACTTGAAGTTGGTTAAGATAAAAAAGCTTACCAAAGAAAAGTTAAATGCTAATGTCATAATAAAAGTTTGTAGGGGTGCTAAGATAAGAGCTTAAGAAAATATTATTGACATATATCATTATGAGTTTTCAAGGTTGTTTAATTATGTTACTGCTCTGAGAAAGGTAGATCAAAATGGACATGTAGATCTAATGGTTGAAAGGCCTACACCAAAGCATAAACCAAAGTTTTTGAGGTTGTATGTTTGTTTTAGTGAACTTGGGAAATCCAAAAATACTATAGGCCTTTGTTGTGTGTAAATGGATGTTTTCTAAAAAAATCCTTAAAAGCTGAACTTTTGGTTGCTATTAGTAAAGATGTCAATAATCAAATGTATCCTATTACTCGAGCACTTGTGGAAGTGGAGAATAAGCATAGTTGGGGATGCTTTTTGGATAATTTGAAAGTTGATTTTCACATGGAGAATGGTGCCAGATTCACTATCATGAGTGATATGCATAAGGTATGTATGATAATTTTATAATTTTATCTTTTGAAGGTTTATGATTTGTTACTTTTGAATGTTTAATTAACTTTTTTCATTTATTATTGTAAGGTTTATGTGATGCCATAAATTTTGTTATTCCTAAAGTTGAACACAAATTTTGTGTAAGACATTGGTTTGCCAATTGAAAAAAACTCATAAAGGCAATGACCTTCACAAGCAACTCTAAATATGTAGTAAAACTAGAACAGAGGTTGAGTTCAAAGCAAGAGCAAAGAACTTGGAAAATTGAAAGGTATAGCATTAATTGATATCTTAAAAAAAAGTCATAAGCATTGGTCAAAGGCATTTTTTAGTATTAGATGGTTGTCTGATGTTACAATTTAGCTAAGGCATTTAATGTTAGGGTTATTCATGCTAGGTATATGTCCATCATTTCAATGTTTGAAGAAATTAGCCATTATGTGATGTAAAGAATTGTTGACAATATGAATAGATATGCTAAGTGGACTACATTGCTCTGTCCTAAAATTTGTGAGAAAATAAAAGAGCATAAGGAACTTAGTGCTTTTTGTCATTTTGTATGGAATGGTAGTGATAGATATGAGGTTGAATATTACAAAGATAGATTTATGATAGACATGGGTGAGAGGAAATGTACATGTAGGTCATGAGATTTGATTGAGTACCATGTCTTCATAACATATGTGTCATAATTTTTTAGGAAGTGCATATGTAGGTCATGTGATTTGATCGAGATACCATGTCCTTATGCCATATGTGTCATAATTTTTAAGAGTGAAACAATTGAAGAATGTTGCACATGTATATAAAAAAAGAAATGTATGAGAAATGTTATAGTTGTGTGCTGCACCTATTCTTGGAGGTAAGTTCTGGTTTACCACACATATTGGGAGACATAAATCCATCACTTTCTAGAAAGATGCCTAGTAAACCAAAAAACAATAAAAATATAGATGAGAGTGAAAGTTTAAATTGGATAAAGTTATCAAAGAAAAAAAGGAAACTAAGGTGTCGAATCTATTCAAGTTTGATCACAATTCACGGAAGTGTTCATAAAAAAATTTAAGTTACAATCTGCTTATATAATTTGAAGTTTAATTTACAAATTGATCAAAACCTAATGTTATGTTTTTTATTCATTACAAGGTAGGAACACAAGACAAGCTGAAAACATAATACACCTATGCCTTATCAACCTACAAGATTAGAACACCATGTTAGAGCAACAGCCACACCACCTAAAATAACCAGAGCCAAAGCAGTAGCCACACCACCTAGAGTGATCATAGCAGTAGCCACACCACCTACAATGACTAAAGCAATAGTCACACTACCTAAAGTGACCATAACAGTAGTCAAGCCATCTATAATGACCATAACAATAGCCAAGCCACCCACAATGACCACTATAGTTGCCACACCACCCATACGCTCTACAACACCCATAATATCCACATAAAGTACAACACCCACACTATCAAGATAAACTATAGCAACCAATGTAGTACCAAAGGCTACAACATGTCTAAAGTTACTTGTCCAAAAAGGAAAATAAAAAATTAAGGAAAAACTTGTACCACCTAAAAGCAAGGGAGAAAAATCATGCAAGGAATGGGCATATATGTTAATGGAAAGATAAGGTTGCAGATAAAAAAATAATGTTCCTTTATTGTGTAGTTTTTTGTTTTACTATTAGCTTGTTAAGATTTATTTATATATGCTAATGAATTATATTTTATCAAATAGCCTAGACTAAAAGGTCAGATGTTGATCTCTACTTAAAAAAGTGCTAAGCGTGTATTAACATAAAAAATAGTTATAGATGGTTCTCTGTATAAGGAGATTGATGGCCATTTAGATAGTGTTACCAAAAATAAATATGAAGATGAATAACCTCTTTTAGTCAAGGTAACCTATTTATATGTGTTACTAGATATTTCTTTGATGCATTGTTTGGTAATATTTTAATGGTTTCAATATAGGATTTAATAGATGAGTTGTTGGGTGTCAAGAGGAAGAGAGAAACTTCAACAACACTTGATGACGCATTAACTCTTCTAAATGAGATACAAAGTACACAAAGAAGGCAAGCTGGGAGAAAAAAGTCAAAAAGCTGAGAGAAAGTACATAAGTCCAACAACACTTTCAAGAGCTGATATGAATATTGTTTTTGAACATAATACCTTTTTATAACTTTTTTATACTTTTTATTTTTTAATATGAGAAATGTTATAGTTGATCATTTTTTGGATATTTATGATCATTTACTTGTGTAATGAGTAGTGTATGAAGGTACACTATTAGATGTTGTATAAATTTATTTTAGTCAATGATGAATGAAATGGTTTTATCTTGTTTCATCTTGTCTATAGATCAATTATGGATGCTGTTTATGCTTTTTTTGGATAATCATTATCCATTTCTTTGTGTGTAATAAGCAGGGATTTGATGAACTTGTTTCATGATGGATCATTGATGTATTAGTTTGATCTTGTTTGTTTAATAATGATGGATCTAAATAAATGAATTGGTTATAATCTTGTTTGTGTATTGATCAATTGGTTTCATCTTGTTTGTAGCAATAATATAAACTAGTTATCAGAATAGCAACAACACAAAGAGGGATGGCTAACTGCCATTGTAGGTAACATTCAATTCTAAGAAATGGAAATGAAGATAATGACAAAAGAGTATACTTTAGTTTTTGGTACAAACATTATAGCCAATGTGGAAACAATTTACAAATAATCAGAAGCTAAACTAACATGCAATGAGAAGATAGAAAGATTTAACCAAATGGCTATAAATAAAAGGCAAAAATAATCAATAGATTTTTTACATTCAAAGAATGAAAACCACCAAGTTTTGGTAGCATATAACAAGGACTTAAACTGGGACACATAGTAATAATTGCTTTCATTTCATTACTTCGTCCTTACAATAGTTTAGAACAAAATATACAGTCCTTTCACAAATTCTTAAAATTTTTCAATCTACCATAAAATAATCCCTAAAATGAAAATGAAAAACACCATCTAAGATACTAGTAACACAATCTTATTATACCATATTAATCTTCGACCCTTTGCTATCAAATCCTTATATGATTTCTTTTTCATTTTCAGAACACAAACCTCATTCAAAACCTTATTAACTTCATTATTATTGCAATTTTCCTTCAATACAGTATTTTCTTCCACAACTCTTTGTTCACAACCAACAATTTGTCCTTTTCAAGTCTTAATTCCTCATTTTGATTTGCATTTTCACTGTCCAATGAATTCTCATCTTCAACCTAATGAAAAAAATCGCAATTCACATCCTGCAAAATGTTAATAGAAACAAATTCAGTTTTATCCATCAACACAATACCATATTTGTATTAATTAACAAATGTGAAAATTACCTCTTTGAACTTTCCACACCCATAAAATTTTCTTCTTGGATTCTTTAATGTTGTTGACCTATGAATTAGAGTCATTACTCCATGATAACAACTAATTGAAGTAAAATGATTTCTTGTTCTTGAGCTACAACTTGATCATAACTACCCAAATGTCCATTTCTCTTTAATGAATCTTCAATAAGACCTTTATATCTTTTTTCACCCATCTTACCTGTTTCATTTTTGATTTCGTGAATGTTGCAGCTTAGATTTCAAAAGATAGCAACTTCGATTTCACAACCTTCTTGCTAGACCCTTCACAAGTTTTGATTTTGCTTAAATTTCCTCTAGGTTCTTTAAATTTGAGGGTTAAAGTTTGGATATTAAATTTGGGGTTTACATTTAAAGGAGAATTAATTTGTTTGGTTTTTTTTTTTTTTTTTTACTTATTCAAAATTTTGACCACATAAGCAATCTCTGTCATGCTTACATGTCATTTTATGTCCATATGGTAGATTTTTATTGGCTAAAACAATCAAGTCAGTATTTAAGCTAATGGAGTTAACTCTTGAACTAAATTGATATATGATTTCATAGTTTAAAAACTTATTTAATAACTTTTTTAGTTTACATACCAAAATCATTTAGGGCTATTTAGGACATTATCCCTAATAATTAATCTCCGTTTCCCATCCATCCAAGCCATTTTTCTTTTCCCAAACCATCCAAACCTAATTCACCTCGCCATTTGTTAGCTTGGGGTCAGTGAAACTGAAGACATGAAAGGTGAATTTCATTTTAGTTAATTAAGAGGAAAGTGAGGGATTGGGACATAGCTTTCCTATTTTGTGATTGGTAATTATCAAAGCTTGTTTTTCAGCTGTCCCCGAACCCAGGTATGCGATTGCAATGCAACCCAACTCAATTTTATGAATTCTACCAGAAAAGAAAATAAATTCCTTATATAAAGAAAACAGTAATACCTTTTTTTTTTTTATCTTTGAAATTTTGGAATTTCTACCAAATATTAAGCAAAACTAGCGTTTCGACTACGTTTGATTTTGAAAACTAGTAACTTTTGTTGCTATATACTCTATTTATTGGATGATTTCGGGAATCATGTTTGATTATGAATGCTACGTTGGGTTATTTCATAAACGCCCACCGTCTATTTGATAAAAGTCTTCTTTGGCTTATTATTATTTTTTAAGATTTATGAGTTTGATAACTAGGCACTACGTATCTGTTAGCTGTTCATGGTTTTTCCAATGCTAAATGGAATTGGTTTCCTTTCATCTTGAAATTTAGATGTGCATGTGCGTGCTTGCAACTTAACCTTTAATTCCTCGGTATCTGTACAATAATTATCCTTTTTTATTGAGTTTGTATTCACGGTATAACATCCCTTATTCATGTTCTTTTATATGCATATTATGTTCTTTATTTATAAAACATTATTAAGGCAGTCAGTCCATTTGATACTTGTAGCTGTTCATTGTTTGCCAACTCGGTTGCTGTGCTTATTATTCTTCCACTTTTTCTCCTCCTCCGTATAACTGATTGCTTTAGAATGCCTAGCGGAATCCAAAATTGTTGGGTTTCTATAACTTGTTAAGATAACGTAATGGTGCTCGTAATCTTGTTAAGATAATGTAATAGTGATAAAGAGGGCAGCCCGGTGTGTAAAGCTCCAAGAGGAAAGGCAAATAAAGAACCTAAATAGAAAAAACAATGAAAGAGGTTTTTTTCACAAGATAATGTAATAATGATGCTGGTTGTAAAAATTTTTTATTCAGGTGATATACCTGACTTCTGCCTATCTCTACCCCAAACTACTCATAACAACCACCCTCTTTCTCCATGCGAGAGGTGGCCTAAGGATTTGTTACCTCAAGTATTCGAGGTACTCAAGCCTGTTGACTCGAAACAATAACCAATGTACCAGTTACTGCTGGTTCATCTGACTTAAAATTATTTGCTAAACACTGCAGTTACATCTTCTATAATGTGATTATGGGACTGCTAGTTGGCATTTTCTTTTACGATATCCGCTGATATTATTCAATGCTCATGCTTGTTTAAGTACCCTTTTATTTGATGGTCATATTATTGAATGTGAAAACTTATCTCTTTTTATTCTCTCTTTCTCTGTTATTTTATCTGTTCAATTCATTTATGAAATGGCGATTGGTGTTATTCTTTCTAGGTATGCCTGTTGTTTGTATCCCTGCTATTTTGGTAACACAGTTCCAATTGGTTTTGGGTACAGTTAGAAATATTCTGTCAGCTTTTAGGGAGACATCTGGTGCCTGATATACTGATCAGCTGCAATGAGTACATCCAAAGGGAAAAAACTTTCTGGGATGCAGAAACAAGTACTTAGTCTCTACCGAGGATTTTTGCGAGCAGCTCGTTCAAAGCCTACTGAAGATCGACGCCAGATTGAATCAATTGTCTCGGCTGAGTTCCAGCGCAATTCCAAGCAAGTAGATCGCAAAAATTTCCTCTATATTGAATATTTGCTTCGACGTGGTAAGAAGCAACTTGATCAGCTAAAGAGTCCCGATACTATGGGGTTATCAGCTTTCAATGTCAGTTCGTCTAAGAAACAAAATGCTAAGACTTGAACACAATATTTGTTGGTTATCATATTTTTCTGGAAAAACTGATTGTTCTTTAATTGATTGTCAGAGAAACAGGAACTGCATTACAATAATATCAATGTTTTTAACATATTGAATCTCTTGTTACTTTCTTGTACTCAATGCTGGCCGGGAAAAGGCTGTAATTTGAAATTAATAAAAATATTCCCTTGAAATTCAATGGTTTTTGTGATTTTTCTGATTCAACTTTTTTTTTTTCATCGAATTTCTATATAAAGAGATTGTGCTGCTGTTTTAGGTCAGTTTTTCTATTTAGGTTTGCCTCTCCTCTTGGATGTCAACATTAAGATTTATATCTGATCTTCAATTCATTGTGCTTTGGCAAGGATCTTAGGTTATTTCAATGCAGCCTTCCAGTTGATTCATTGACGGATTGGTGAAATTCTAGGTTCCCTGAGCATCTATCTTTATGTTACATCTTGATGCTAGAAAAAGGACTCCGCAAAAAGGAAGGTGAAATTCTTGATGAAGTTACAACTCTTATGTTTCCACTTTTTTGCATGTGATATTGTAAAAAAGGTTTTCTTTTTTATGGTAGGCAGGATATTAATAGTTATTTATTTTAATAGGTTACTTGAAAGTGGTAGGAGTATTGTTTGTAGGTGCACACCATAATAAATCAACATTTTATTTTTATACTTGAGCAGTACTGCTAACAAAGTTAACTGTATTAAATTCTAGAGCAACTGAGTACCATTTTCCTTTTAAGTAACAAGTTGGAATTTGGATTTACCTGCTAAACCTTGAAGGAAATTAGAGAAATATTTGTTCGTGCACTTGCACACTTTATATATATGTTTTTTAGCTCATTTTAGTTATATACTTATACAAACATTTTGTTAGGTTCTGGCCTAAAAGTTAAATCTTATGTAAACACACTATAAAAATCCTTGAAGTGACATCCATGACCCAACGATCAAAACATGATGAAATTTAGGTATGATTTTTTTTGCTTTTTTTGGGATTGAAGGTAGGATATATGTGATTAAAAATTCTTCTTTCCACTGTGTAACTTGAAACGTATTGAGTTTGCATATGAACCAAAAAATAAAACAAATATTTAGATAGGAATGCCTCAAGAAGAATCTGTAGATCATCTTTTCCTCCAAAGCCCTTATGTCTGGAAAATTTGGAGTCGTTGTAATAGGTGGGGTATTATGTGGGTCTCTGATACACGCCGACTACAAGTGCACGAACCGTTCAAATAATATAGTGATTGAATGAAAGAATATAGTCTCCTAAGGATTGATTGTTAACTTAGAGCAAAGTAAGCAAAGTCCCGGAATTAGGCACCTAAGTTATATTCGGCTCTAACGAAGGTTTTATGGAAGAAATAAACCTAAACTATCCTAAATTAACGTAAGTGATTGCATGAAATTAAATTTAACCTAATTACTATCAAATTATGAAGTTAACTAACTAAATTAAAAGTAAAATAACTACTAAGGGAAAATCCTAAAGTGAATTAAAGCTAAGCTTTAAGCTTAAATCTAACCCACTAGTATGAATTTAAGAGAAAGCAAATTTAAATGCATGACGATAAATCAACTAAACATAAGATAAAAATGACATGTAAGATGAAATTAAAGGACATGAGCATATGAAACTGCAAATAAGGAAATGATTCAAACACTAAAAACCCTACCTAGTCTCAGCCTAAGCTATATTAATCTATTAGCGTGTTGGAACATAAACTACTGAATTTAAATGCAATACCTAAATGAAGATGACCAAAATCAGCATGTACTAAAAACATGAAATGAACCGAACGTAAGGAAAATGCAATGGACCAAGGCAACATGAAATGAACTAAAAACAAGTAACAAAAATGTAAGGAAAATGCTTGAGATGAACCGAATTGATATGATTAGTAAGTACATAAAAGATAAAAGGGGAAATGAGCTTGATTAACTAGGACTTTAAACTGCTTGAACTTAGCTTGCAAAGGAATTAATTAGCATACAAAAAACACAAATCAAGAAGCTAAAAGAAGTTCAAACCGAAAGTAATGAACTCAAGCAGAAAATTGTAAACACTATTAAGAGTAAATAAGCTTTGGAATTAAATGGAGTTTTAAAATGCTGGAAAGTAAAATGCACGCTATGCCAATGACATGAAATTTTAAGGCATGAAATTAAAATGGTAGCAAATCAAACTCCAAAAACAGAAAATGAAATCAGCAAATAAGCAAGCTCAAAAACACGAAAAAAAAAAAGAAAAGCATGAGAACTAGAAAAATTAAAGGGACTTTAAAGGAACATTAAACATAAAGAACATAGAAGGAAAATAAAGTAAATAGCAAGTAAATAACTAATTAAAACAAGCTCAATGAACCGAAATAAACAGCTTAAAAGAAATGAAAACAGTCACAAAGTAATAAGAACTTAAAATGAAATAAAAATAAGATAATGGAGATTCAAGTTGCTTGAAGCCCCATAAGTGATTTCTCAACCTAATCGCATTCAAGAACTACCCTGGTCTTGCTCAAAACAGCCATGTATCATAAAAGAAAGGAAGAAAAACCGAAACTAGGCAGTGACAAAACAAAACCGAACAGCCAGCGGCCAGCAACCCAATCTTTCTCAAATTTTTACTCAAGTTTTCATAGTGATTTTGGCTTTCAAATTGCAAGAAAATGAAGTTAACAACTCTATAAACATGTAAGGAAAAGCTCAAAAAAAGTTGAAAGGAAAAACAGCATAAAAACTCAATAAAATAGTAGCTAACAGAAATTGCATTTAATAAAACCAAAATTACAAACTCTCAAGTTTCAAGCTTAAATACAAGGATTTGGTTAAGGAATTTTTTGCTAAGCCAAGTAACTATTAAAAACAAGTAAAGGAAGCGTAAACGAAATATTGAACAAGAACATACAAAGGTAAATGAGCTAAACAGCCAAGAACCAAATAGCCAGAGAGCTGCCAGCTCTTCGCAGTGCAAAGGAAATGAAAATTCCTAAAAATGAAAGAGGCAACTAGGGCTCCCTTTTCTCAGCAGCAACAGCTTCTATAAATAGCCAATTCTAGGTTTTTTGGTTGCCTAATGAGCTTGTACCATTTAGCAGCCAAGTCAGCAGCCTCATAATCCAGTTCAATTGGAGGAGTCTCAGCAATGCAAAAACCGTGACTACCTTTGCCGCTTTGTCCAAGTGTGCAGCTCTTTTCCAGCTCATGCAAGGTGCCCAATTGTCTTCCATAATGCAGCCTGTTATAACATATATATCCGTAGATCTACTATTAGACAAAAATGAAAAAGAGACGCCACTAATCTTTTTTGTTTATGTGTGATTGACCACCTAATATAGATTATGATCTACGAAAACAGATGTTAAATTCGAGAGTTAGTTATGCCTGAAAAAGATTATAACACCCCTACAACACCCATCCAATTAATGGTATCAGTTGGATTCCAAATTATCTAAGCCTTGATCATATTTATAATTTTACCAAATTAATTTAATATTGAAAATCAGTCTTAAAATTGTCTCAATAGTTTGGTAGTAATTTAAGATAATTTTCTCACATTAGGAGTATTCATAAAAATTAGTATCCCATTTTGAAGAGATTCCATCATCGAATTTATTAACATATTTTTATTTAAAAAAATTAGTAAAATCTCTCAATAGTTTGGTAAGACTTAACAATAATCCTCTAATAGTTTAGAAGATAAAAATTATTTTTTATTTTTTATTACAAAATCGATTTATGGAACTTCCTAATAGTTTGGTAGATTCAATTTTAAAAATTAAACCTACGAAAATTCTCCAATAGTTTGATGAAATTTATGAATTTATCTTGTAAGATTTTTATTTGAAAAAGATTTTTTTTATAAACATATATGTTTTTTTAAAAAGATTTTTTTATATAACTTCTTCTATTCTTCCATAAAGAAAATGTTTATTTTATTTTATTAAAAAAACTAAATAAAAAGCTAAAAAAATAAAAATAAAATTAAGACAACAAAATGAATAAAATCAAAAAATCAAATCAAAAAATAAAATAAAATGAAAATGGAAAAGAAAAACCTTACGATCAAGTTGGGTTAGAGCACAGGTCAACATGCAAGTCATCGGGTCAACACGTGGATCCTGAGTTGTCCAAAACGACGTCACTCTGGGCTAGTATAAAAGGCACTTTCCAACGTTTTTCTTTAGAAACCTCATAGCCTCTCTCTCTCTCTAGCTCGAAAAATTCTCTGCCTTCTCTCTAAAACAACTAATAACAATGCCAAAAAGTTCAACCGTAAATTGAAAATCCTACTGGTTTCTAGAAACTTCATCGAAAAATTCAATAAGAAATTGAAAAACCCATTCGTTTTCTGGAAAACTTGTTGCAATCTTACCAGAAAATTCAATCTCATCGAAAAATTTTGCCAAAAAATTCAAATGTTCTTTCTAAACCCAAAAAAAGCCAGAAAAATCCTCAAACCTTTCAAAAAGCTCTAAATCTTTCCCAAAACCTTCTACAACCATAAATATACCTCTAGAAACCTAGAATCACACCTAAAAACCCTAAATCAAAATCGTAAGTCCCAAAATAAAAAATACTCGAATATCTTTATTGCCTAAAATTTTTTCAAACTTTTCTTTCTTCAAAATTTATGTGTGTCTGTCCTCTATAAATCTAGTCCAATTTTTAGGTAGCTTTAGGATCAATTTTAAGAAATGGACAGAATCATTCCCAGGCTTGAATCCTAGGATTGAATTATGTTCAAATGAGATTTTAGGTCTCAAAATTTTAGCAATCACACTAGTACAATCTTGCATTAAAATCATGTGGTGGGATTCTGATCTTGAGTTCCTTATTCACGTACGAATTGGAACAAAAAAGGAAAGAAGAAAAGAAAGAAAAGGAAAAAGAAAATAAAAATAAAAATAATAATAATGATAATAATAATAACATAATAATACTAATACGAATAATAATACTATAATGATAATAATAATAATAAAATAATAATAATAATAACAGTATACCATTATATTATAATACATACTATAATAATAACAAAAGTACTAAGAGCAAAAAGAATCAATCCAATTGGGCCCGAACACAAATGGGTATTTAGATATTACAAAGACATAGACACCCAATCTATTCAAGTCGAATTAGGAAAGATCCCTAAATTTGAAAAATGATTTAGGCTGGACCAAGATAAGATGATTGGGACAAAACCACAGTTTAGAAAATGAAGCAACTAAAATCGAGTAGAGGTCAAAGATGAATGATCGGGATGAAATCACAAGTCAAAAGGTGATCTAGACTGAGCCAAGATCAAGTGACTGGGATGAAACCACGAGTCAAAATGAAGT